GAAAAATAAAATTAAAAGGTTTTGGGCTTAAAAATAGTAGGGTTTTTTTGGGGACTGAGGAAAACTGCTGTAAACGACGGAAAATTTAAGATTTTTTCAATAAAAATTTTTTAAAGGTTCTTCTTACGGGCAAACAAAAATTTTCCAATTTTTCAACAGTTGTCTCCCATTAATTGCCCCCCTAAAAAAATCTGCAGAAATTGGTTCCCCCCATGCAACTAGTGCTGACCAAAAGATCAGCCATTACGTCCATGATGTCTTATCATGATCTTCCACTGTTTGCTATTTAGTCAGCATTTATTCAGGAAATCGTTCCCAAAAAATGATGAATGGTTGTGTCTAAATACGGAAAGATGGACAAGTCTGTTTAAAATATTTAGCGAGTCAGGGTTAAATAAACCAAGCTCTTTTTATCCACATTCTTGGACTGCTAGTTTAGTTGATAAATAAACTGTGCCACTAACTAAAGATTTGGCCCAACTTGAACATCTGTGCGCCACCACACAGGCAATTTATTTCTGTGACTCAATTTTCTCATTGCTTAAATATCAATCTTTCAATCTGGACAAACCATTCATCATTTTCAGGGAAATTTCAAAAATTTAAATTTGCCTGGACCTGCAAATAAGCAAAACCGGGGGATTCAATGAATAACACAGCACATCAATCTTGGAACAAAACCAAATTCATTAGTTGGGAAATTTTGAGGAAGTAAATATTCACTGCATTTAGCAACAGTGCAGAACCATGATTAGATGGCATGGGTGTGCTTGCTTTGATATTTCTTGGGGGTTCTGGAGGGAACTAAGGTTGGTGCATTGGGGGGGGGGGAGATTCCCACTTGCTGCTCGCATGATTTAGTTGTTGCCATCAGACAAACAGTTAAACAATAATAATTGCCTGCTAAATGATAACCTTTATAATCTACCTACAAAGTACAAACTTAAAACACACATATAAAACCAAGGTATAAAACAAATAATGCAACCCAATATTCTTGTTACTCCAAAATCTCTACCAGAAGCTTACAAACAACTGATCTTGATGTGTCCAAACCCAAAACAGCAACATATTTATCAAAACTCCCTCACTTTTCTAAGAAGAAATAAAATCTACATTTTCTTTAACAAATTCACAAAACACACCTTTATCTAACAATTCTACAAGTTCTAACATGGCATTTGCTTTCTCAAGATTTAAATAATCCCTAGTAAAATAGACGCAGAAAATAACTTTTGTACAATTTATGGCACAAACATTTGAATTTACAAAAATAGTACCGGCGTGCCAAAAATAGAATTTTAAAAAATAGTGTTATCCTTTATATGTCCACTTAACACATAGGCCCTTACATGTTTTTTGCTTTGTTTGTTTACATCAACCCGTATAGGTCACATGGGCAACTTTTAAGCTTTACAGGTTGAGGAGGACCTCTGTTCCACTTCTGCACATTAATTCAGCACAGATACTTCAAGTAGAACCACTGATTCTGTAGCTGGATAGCTATTTTTAAATTTTTTTGTTGCTGGTTTAATGTTTGCACCAACACTGTAGAGAAAAATAGACCTCAGGTGCTCCTCTATCCACTATTTTCAGCGGTTATTTGAATAGAACTATAAATCATAAACTTGGGATGATTCACATTTGCCACAATATATACCACATTTTACAAGCATTTTGTTCATTTTGTAACAAATAATTTTTCTTGGAACAAACCTACATGTCTTTCATTCTTTATCAAACTGTATACCAAACCTCTTACAAACAACTTGAACCAGGCAATAACCATCTTTAATTTTCCATGGCCGACTGTACTAGAATTTTGTACAATTACTGTATAAATGGTTACGTAGTGAATGTGGAAAAGGATTTGGCAAATTTCGCAAAATCGTTTTTAAATTTCCTACAGGCATAAATATCAATGCAAACCCGTTCGATTAAATTCTACACTTACACAATTGGTGTAATAATTTTCTTACACAAAATGTCTAACATTTTAAATTTGCTAATTTTTCGACATGCAGAAATATCCACTTATTACAGTATAGCAATTTATTTATGAGGACCAATTTCCATTACAGGTCAGTATTCAGTGCCTTTACATTGCCAACCCAAAATATGAATATGACAAAGGTTGTTATTTGGCCGTGTCATGACAAAAACCAACCATAGTGCATTTGCCGACCAGCAATGGATCCAGGCCAGCCTGCCCATCCGCGGAGTCTGAAACAGGATCCAGCACTGTTCGCTAATACCAATCTATTAAGATTAAAAAAACTGAATAGCCAACAGCAGGAATCCTGTGATTCAGACTGCCGAGGATGCACCAGGCTGGTCTGGAGATCCGGATTGCTGGTCGCAACGCTTTTATGTTGGTTTTATTGTGACCGGGCTCATTCATTAAATCACCAGATGTATGAGTCAATTAAAAAGCAGCAACGTTTTACCGAATTTACCAATTTCTGATACTATTTCAAAATAAAATTTTCAGCCACAAAGAAAAATGTTCTTCATTGTAACAGGATTTTTTGTTTTTTCAAGGGAACTCTGATGAATGAAGATCTTAATTTATTTATATATTTAACAATATAATCAGTTCTGTTTTAAATAATCTAAAGAATTAAATTCAAAACGAAGTTTTCAGTTACAGAAACAATTATACAGCATAAAAATATTTACCAGTAATAATAATAAATTAATTACAGTATTCCCCCTATGTATGTCATAACATAGCTTGATGTGTAAAACTTGTCATTGCAAAATAATGCCTTTCTTTAAGTGACATTATGCTCTTTTTTATCATTGTAAAGTTGAGCTGAATTGACTGTATATTTCAAAAGATTGACTATTATTATGGTGATTGACCAACAGTTGACATTGGAAAATGTTAAGGATAAAGTTATAAATCTGCCTAAAAAATATAAAGAGACTTGCCCTACTCTTTTTATTAATTAAATGTATTGCCCTACTCTTTTTATGGATTGAACATCTACAGGTAAAATTTCAATGGATATTTATAGAACATTTCTTTGGGCCGTGTGTGTTGTTATTTAGTATTCTTGTGAATTTAATTATAAAATTGAAAAAGAATTATAGCAAAACGTAAACTTCTTTTTTACATTTCTTTTGTTCATTCATTTATAACATCGGATGGGCAAAATGTAATTGTAGAAAAAGAACCAAGGTAAATCAAAATGGACAAGCTGGCTGCTGCCAACACCAGAACTGCAATAGTTACAGGAAGCCAACTCAAAAAACTGATAAATGTGTACTGCAAAGAATTTGGTTCACAAATTTGTGCTTCATAAATATATCTAAAATTATCTCTTCTAACAGATTTTCATAAACAATCTATCACAATTTTAAAAATGCTTAACAATTGTCTTTGTCATAACAGATTAAATAGCAAAAACAATAATGTCTACATGATAAAATACTGTCTCTATGAAAATATTACATTGACTATTTCTGAAGAAAATATAGAACTTTACAAACAATTTTTACGTTTATCAACATGCTCATCTGTATACATGTATTATACTATGTAAGCATTTTATGTAAGAAGTAATTTATGATGTGTTTAAAGTATATTGCATTGTTAGTATGTACATCCAGTTATATTTATTCCTTAAAGGCACATTATGCCTCAGAAATGAAAAAAAAAATCTGTCTTAAAATAGGTCGAATATGAGTTTTATAATGGTTTAATAATGGGTTTATGGCATGTTAAATGCTTATCACCTGAAAAAAGTATTACTTAATGTAAAATTATTAATGATTGAAGTAGCAAAAAGGAAAAAAGTAGTATTTTAACTTCCATTCAAAATACTTAGCTACTTTAAACAACAGAAGCAAAAGATTCAGGTAAATGGTTAAGACATAACTTTCTTTGTGACCGTAACAGGACACCAAAAATAAGAAGCTTTTAAGAAATAAAAATAAAATCATTTCTGGGCAATAATGGGCGCTTTAAATTACAAAAAATGTATAACTTAGAAATAAAAATGAACATTTGTGACATGAGGCTTACTGTGCGTTTGACCCATTTCATACTCCTTTAAATGTTATGTTTTTGCTAATTGGTATGTCAAGAAAAAATTGAATAAAGTATAAAAATAATTTCAAAAAGTTGGCATTTAATTTTGTAAATTATACAATAAATTAGTTCATTTTACTTGCCATACAATTCTCTCCTTTCCTTATACAGTTTATTGCCTTTTGATTTTAAACAAGTGTTAAAATAGAAAATAAAACTTATAGACAGATTTTATTTAATCTACTTTATTTCTAAAGTTGGGCCTTGTTCACAATTTTTCAAATACTTGTAACTTACTAATTAAAAAGAGACTCCAAAATTTGTCTTTAAATTTTATGCTTTTAGGCTTTTGGACCCCATGGATTCCTTTTAAGACAAAATAATTAACTTTTTACTTGATTTAAACAAGAATTTGTCATGAAAAAATTTTTAATAAATGATTTGTGTCTTTTTACAGTCTATCTATCCAAAATAAAATCTCCAAATTTTTCCCAATTCTTTCCCCCCAATTTTCTCCCTTTTTTCTTTGGGTTCTTCAAATAGTATTTTTCTGTTGGGTTGAAATTAAAAAATTTAAATATTGTGAGTTTAAAAATGTTTTTTGGGCCTTTTAATTTTGGCAATCCCACTGTATCAAAGTGAAAGGAAGGTTATACTTTTCGTTTTTTTGCTTTTTCATTCAACTGGGCATAACTTTTAAATAGATGTCTTAGAACAATTGCCCTTGCATGACAATGATTCAATAACCTGAGCATTATTTACTGTGTTAGTCTTGTACACCATATATCTCTACTTCTTAAAACCTCAATGCAGACATAATTTTTGATAATATATAAATAATGTTTACGTTGTTGTGCAAGAAAAAAAAAATTCATTGTGTTTTCCTATGACTGAAGTCTCAGCAAACCACAGGGCATAAACTAAATTGATGTCATATCAAGAACAGGATCAAATCTATCATGATCTAATGATATCTGTAAATTATACTGAAAATATCATTATTACTTACTGTATGGACAAAAAATATCTTGAAATTCTTTTGTTCTGTTCTTAGTTCTTTTGACCTGAAAATTTCAAAATCAACACACTTGATATAAAATATGCATATGTACGGCTTAAGTTAAAAGCAACTTATATTTTTGGAGTTATGAAGATTTTTCTGTTTTGTTTGTTTGTTTATTGTTATTTTTTTTGCTGTTGTTGTTTTTTTGTGTTGGGGGGTGGGGGGTAATGAGGGATTTCAGTTTTAAAGTCACTCCAGTTCTCTAAGACAGCGACTTTCCAGCTTCATAAGTTGAGGAAGACTTCAGGTACCACTCCATACATTATTTCAGATGCTGTTCTAAAGATGTTTTTACCAAATGAAGAGAAAAATGGACATAAAAAATTCTTGCGCCTTTTATATAATCCTTAGTTACACTTTCGGAAAAATTACACTTAATATCACTAATGAAGAGTATACCTTACACCATTTGTAATAGTAATGCACAGGTCAGTATGAATATTATGGATAAAAGTTCAAACAATGTGGTAGTTTGATATCCTTTACATAAGTATATGGTAAACAAACCTAAACTCTTCCTTTGATAAAATATGGCTGCTATTATTTCCGTGGAGTACATTCACACATTTAATTCTGAACGTGTGAAGATACTCAAAAGTCATGACATTTTGTTGACACACATTGACGTCAATATGGCGCCAGCATTATTATATAAATTGAAATTTGATACTAATACACCTTCATTTTGCTTTTGTGACCAACATAATAACATATTGTTATTGTTCAAATAATGAAAAGCTACCTAAAGTACATGTTGACCCATATTTCATCAGTGATTTAGTAAAAGCTGGTGATTTAGTTTTGAACTTTGGATTAAAAAAACAACAACAACACAAAAACAACAACATAAAAATACTTGTCCGTACCAGCCAATACTTCAATAACTGATTGAATATACCTATAGAATCATTTAATCAAAATTTGAAGACAAGATACTATAGAAAGTTTACCATGGAATTTGCCCTTTATATACTTTACTGACTGGATCAACATAATACAGATGAGGTCCTTCCGTCAATAAGAACATCCGTCTTCTAGCAAACAATCCCTGTAATTAAATATACAAGACACGTTTTAGGAACTGGCTAAGTGTATTTCTTTTATACTTGTCAAGACAATAGTTCTCAAACCCAGTTTGTAAAAGGGTAACAACAATAAAATACAGTTTAAAACATGTGCAAATTAATTTTTTTTATTGTAGGATTTACAACATGATACCAAACAATATCCACATTCATAAGGCAGTTTGTTTTTCTAATATTATGTTGATTTAGACACATTTTTGGTCTACTCAACAGCCAATCCAACCAATCAATTATTACCAGTAATAACCAATTACAAAAATTTAACAAAGTTTGAGGAACTTGATTTAATGCATAATTGATAATTACTACAATGTTATTACATCTACCTTTCTTTTGTCTATGAATCCTTGTTTTAGAATGAGATTTCCTTCAGTGAACCTATGATACTCATTTGTCTTAGCTTGCTCCTCTAATCTTTCCTTTCTCTCTTGTTCTGTTATTCTACAATGTTTAATATAACAGCATAAGTACATGTATGTACTACTACATCAGTATTTACTAAGTTAAGGTTTGATCTTTTTTCCTGTTTTTATTCAAATACCAATTTTAACACATATTGTTGGTCATACCTTGCAAATTGATCCACCAAACAGACTTTCCTAGATAACTTTCCAGTAAATACTGATTTCGCTGCAATTGACCAACTACTAATCTAACATGATTTTTGAATCAGGGAGGAGTGACAAATGACCACAAGACCCAATGTCCAAGATCAATTGTCACAGAGACATTACGCCTCACCCAAGGATTGACACAGCCACTCCTCGATTACTACTATGATGCTTTCCCTACAGAGCTCAGCAGGTTAACTTACTTCCCCATCTCTCAACACTGCTAACTGCTAATTAGCCAAGGTGGTAAATTAACATTTTCACTACTATAACCTAAAGCAATGGATTTCTCTGCAATGACCAAGCTGAAACCATGCAATATGTTTCTTTTTGTCATTACTTATGTATAAATATAAAAGGCTGATCTATCAGAAAATTGTGTTAGACTTATCAACCTAAAGCTGATACTTTTTCTCTCCTTTTTTCTTTTTGGTTCTAACATTCTTGGTTATCACACTATTGATACTAATATAATTTCAAAACATTATCTTTAACTTACAAATGTGATGTTAAGATTTCACCTATCCTTTTGTCTGTCAGGCCAGGCTGTAAAGAAACCAATTTCAAACTTATATATATTTTACAATCTTATCAAATGACTAGTAAGAGATTTAAACAAGCTTATATAGTTATGCAGTAGATGTCACTGAAGGAAAAAATGACAAATATTGGTCACTTTCCTTTTAAAAGGTTTTCCAGCTATTTTCCATGACAACAATAAATACTTGTTTCCAAACTTAAATGAGCCTCGTCACGACAAATCCAACATAATGTGTTTGTGACCAGCATGGATCCAGACCAGCCTGCGCATCCGCGCAGTCTGATCAGGATCCATGCTGTTCGCTATCAGTTTCTCTACTTGTAAAAGGGTTGGTAAGCGAACAGCATGGATCTTGATCAGACTGCGCAAATGCGCAGGCTGGTCTGGATCAATGCTGGTCGCAAACCCATTATGTTGGTTTTGTCGTGATGCGGCTCAAATATTTAACTCATACCAAGCTAAATATCCTAAATGAACTTGCTTATCTTTCAATCTGGACAAGACCATACGTCATGTTAATGAAAATTTAAAAATATTTAATGATTGAACAGGAAACAATGCAGAGCATGCAGACAGCACTGATGTGCTGGCTGATCTAGGTCGGCACCAGTCACAAAAGTAGAATCTGTTTAGGCTAGCAAGCTACAGCTGACGAAACACTACAATGGAGTTTAACACAGGAACAGTCTGTACAAGAGTTACCTTCATCGTACTCCAACAATGTTCTGGATTACTGGTAGTGGCAGGTAAATAGGGAACTAATGCTGGTGGTTGTACTTCTTCTATGTGGTCCCAATCTATACCCGTGAAAAACTCATGCCCCTTCAATTTCTCAAAGCCACCCATTTCATCACTACCCAATCTTTTATCTGGCTCTAAAACCTGTAATATATAAAACATAAATGACAGCAGCGTGCCTCGAAATTCATGCTTATTATCATGAAAATTTTGAAAATATATTGTGTGTGAACAAAGATAGTAATTAACACAATGCAAATAGCATTTACAATTCACGCAAATCACCAAAAAGAAGTCAAAGTATGCAAATATAGCTCTTACTGTCACGCAGTAGAAAATGTTGTGATAAATACTGCATAATCAGTCATTAATCGCATATAAAATGTAAATTATTACTTGAATCTTTTCATCAAATCTTAATACAATTTTTTTAAGTTTGACTTTCTTAAAACTATTTTGGCTCATCTGGAGGCAAGCAGCTTTAAAATGTTTAAATAATGAAAGTCAAACCAATGATGATCTCTGAATCTCCCAGAACACTTTTAAATAAGGTATTACAAAACAAAAAACAACAACAAAAACTTGTTTTTGGAATTTGTAATCAGCAAATACTTGACTGTATGTAGATCTACCACAACACGTACATAAATAACATTTAAATTGTGAAAAAACTAGAAATGTGTCCATAGGACACGGATGCCCCCACACGCCACTGTTCTGTCAATCTTATGACTCTAGGTCAAATATTTTTTGGACTACAAGTTGAAAACTAAAAATCAACAAAGGGCCATAATTCTGTTAAATTTGGTCACAGCAAAAATTCCTTCCTTTACTACCATCTACACGTTAAGGTTGTTCATCCCTGGAAGTTTAAGCAAAATCTGCCATCCCCTTTAAGACGAGTTGCGTTCACAAAATTTCTACATAGTATATAGTGAAAAAATCAACAAAGGGCCATAATTCTGTTAAATTTGGTCCCAGCAAAAATTCCTTCCTTTATTACCATCTACACATTAAGGTTGTTCATCCCTGGAAGTTTAAGCAAAATCTGCCATCCGGTTTAAGAGGAGTTGCGTTCACAAAATTTCTACATAGTATAGTGAAAAAATCAACAAAGGGCCATAATTCTGTTAAATTTGGTCGCAGCAAAAATTCCTTCCTTAACTACCATCTACACATTAAGGTTGTTCATCTCTGGAAGTTTAAGCAAAATCTGCCATCCGGTTTAAGAGGAGTTGCGTTCACAAGATTTCGGGACGTACGGACAGACATACGGACGGACACTTGGATGGACAAGTGCAACGCTATATGCTCCCACTCTGTGGGGGCATAAAAACACAACAAGACATGCCCATGGGCAGAATGTCGAGCCTGCTTGTCTTAATTCAAACATGAACCTATAAGCTTCAGATCAAGGAGATAGATGTTTACATAAGTGAGATGTGCGCAACACATCCTCTTTATACCAAATGCAAAATCTTGTCATTGCATCATCTGAGGTGACCTTGACTTCGACCCAGTGACCTGGTTTATGTGCATGATGAACATTTGTGCCTAAAACTAGAAATGTGTCCATAGGACACGGGTGCCCCCACCGCGCCACTGTTCTGTCAATCTTTTTACTAAGTCAAGGGAAATTACTCTACAAATACTGGATAAATCCACAAGCAAAACCCCAGGTGCAAATCTAAAATATGCTGAGCAACCTGCCTATAGGTTAAATGACTATGTCAAATCCTTTTTGAGAAACTTGCGACACAAGTTGAAAATTGCAAAAATTTTCTAAGTGAAGGGCAATAACTCTAAAAATACTAAATAAATCCAGACGAAAATACCTGGTGCACAACTGCACATGCTAATCAATATTCCTGTAAAGTAACATGACTCTAGGTCAAATACTTTTTGAGTTACCTGCGACACATGTTGAAAATTGCAAAATTTTACTAAGTCAAGGGCAATAACTCTGAAAATAATGAAAATTTCCAAACAAAAATACCCAGGTGCACAACTACACATGCTAATCAACATTCCTGTAAAGTTTAATGACTCTAGGTCAAATACTTTTTGAGTTACATGCGACACAAGTTGAAAATTGCAAAATTTTACTAAGTCAAGGGCAATAACTCTGAAAATACTTAAAATATCCAAACGAAAATACCCAGGTGCACAACTACACATGCTGATCAACATTCCTATTAAGTTTCATGACTCTAGGTCAAAAATTTATTGAGTTACATGCGACACAAGTTGAAAATTGCAAAATTTTACTAAGTCAAGGGCAATAACTCTGAAAATACTAAAAATATCCAGACGAAAATACCCAGGTGCACAACTACACATGCTGATCAACATTCCTGTAAAGTTTCATGACTCTAGGTCAAATACTTTTTGAGTTACATGCGACACAAGTTGAAAATTGCAAAATTTAACTAAGTCAAGGGCAATAACTCTGAAAATACTAAAAATATCCAGACGAAAATACCCAGGTGCACAACTACACATGCTGATCAACATTCCTGTAAAGTTTCATGACTCTAGGTCAAATACTTTTTGAGTTACGTGCGACACAAAAGTGAACGGACGGACGGACGGACGGAAGGACGGACGGACGGACGGACAAGGGTAAATCTAAATGCCCGCCACTAACGTGGGGGCACAAAAACTCAATTCATGCTATTTCAAAATTCCTCCATGCATAAGGGAGTTATGGCATGGGCAAGTTTGGATGCATGCATGCACACACAAACACTAAACAGCTATTTTTACAACTATGTTGAGCTCAGTTTAAGCTAGCTCGCCCAAAATCCTCTGACCATTAAGCATAATACAAGATTCAGTGCTGACAAACAAATTTTGATATTTTTATTTGATCTTTGACCTCTTGTGACCTTAACCTTTATTTTGTGCGAGACAAATCAACTCACCACAAAGAATATATGTGCTAAGTTATATTAAAATCCATCCATGTATATAGAAGTTATACTTGCAAATGAATGTTTTATTTTGTTATTTGACCTCTAAGTGTGACCTTGACCTTTGCCAGACACCTGAATTTTTCGCATGACACTCTGCCTCACAATGGAGAATATATGTCAAGAGATATATCAAAATCCCTCTTCTGGACACAGGTTATGCGCTGAACCCCAAGTGTGACCTTGACCTTTGAGTGGGGGACCTAGGTTTTGTGTGCTACACAACACCCTGTCATGGTGAGCATTTGTACCAAATTATTTAGTAATCCTTCAAAAGAATGATATAGACTGGAAAAATCCGGTTGGACGCACATACACTAAATTTTAAGCCAAAAATGATGACTAAGTCGAGCTCACCGCAAGTGTGTTTGACACAAATGAAATTGGTTTAAACACTTTAAACTCAAACCGGGCTAAAAATCAGACAAATTTTTAGTACATTTGTCTATTTCTTTATTATATTGTATACACTTCCTGCTCTATATTCCCCTGTTGATATATGTAAGAATTTGAAATCTTATGTTTTTAGGCATTTGAACCTCAGTGGAGTTCTTAAATGGTAATGCTCTCAATTCAAAGAAACAAGCATTTTAGTAACATTGATAAATGTTTTAAAATGTCACTGACAAAGCTCAGTATAGTGGAAAGTAGCAAATCTTTCCTGAGCTTCTAAGACCTAACCCAATTTACTTGTTATTCTTTCTAAATTTAGAGATGTCAGTGTAAACTGTGATAGAAAGAGGACAAACCTACAGTCTATGTTTTACAAACAGATTGCAATAAGCATAAAAATAACCTCATTTTATTAGTTAGTCCTCCAGATGCTTAAGACGCTTTGATATTTTTAAACTTATGATTCAATTCCTTAACAGCAAGCCCTGTGTTCACTAAGATTCAAGGATCAGGATCAAGATTTAGATCAAATTTAAAAACTCGAATATTCTCCATTATTTATCCTCATATATTAAATATTTAATATCAACTTGATAAAATTTCACTTGAAATAACATGTTTATGAAATTGTAGAATAAATTTGTTGTTATTTTACAAGATATGGGCTTTTAACAGTTGATTCAAATATTGATCTTTATCATAAAATCGATTCTTCTTTTGATCTGATTATTTTTGTATTTGTTTTGTTATACATCAATTCTATCCCAAAATAGGGTTGTTTCTTTGAAAATCGGCAATTTTGTTCTACAATTTTTTTTATTACCTTTTAATTCTAGCAAAATAAGATCAATTTTAGTTTCATAAAGCAATGAAAATAATATCAGGATCACTTGATACAGAGCTTTTATTAGTGATCATGTGGCCAGATTTCAAAGCATGCTTTAACTTGATGAATTAAGACTTCAAAACCTCTATTACTTATCAAGTTTCACAAATCTTACTTACCAATAATTTTTCAACCAAATCTCTAGCCAAAGGACAAAAACCATCAGGAAATTCATATTCAAGTTTTGTGATTTTCTGGAATATTTGGTATTCATGCCTGAGAAAACAAAAATAAAACTGCAATTTATTTCTCTGTCAGATGTGATCAAAGCAGACGGCACTTTATTGCTTTTCCACTCCAAACATAAATCTCACTAGCATTGATTCCTTAAGTTTCTGTTTCAGAAAACTAGCTTTATTGAAGATAGCCAATTAATTTATCCTCAAGCAACTTTAAAATAAATTCATACTGGTTCTTAAAGCTCACAATACATGTATATAAATGTTTTCACAACATAAATAATTTTAAACTTGTCATTTACAAATGATGCTGTAAAATCACTATGGAACTATTCAAATTTGGCATGAAATGAAATAAGTCAATGTAAAGGTAGATTCATTGTTCAAACTTTCCTTATACACTGCACCACATTATAAATCACTACAAATGAGGTAATATTTTTACTCACCCGCCTCTAAAGGGGCATTCACCAGATAAAAATTGAAATAAAATACATCCTAGGGCCCATAAGTCAGAACTGAAATATACAAGATTGGACATAATTTTATCATGTAATAAAATACATTTATATCTGATGTAAAATTTAATTTTTCGTACAAAATTCTTCTTGTAATAATTGTATGTCTTAAAATGACTTGGCTCTTGAGCCATTTTATCTTTTAATTAATCAAGTGAGCAATGATTCAAAAACTAACCAGTTCTGGTACTCATTTTACTGTACAGTGCCATACCTTGCCCAATAACCATAGCCATAACCTGATCATAACCCCAGTAAGGGTCAAACTTTAACAACCAGGCAAACATTCACCATGTCTAGTATTGATACCCATCCCATTAATGGAACTTCGAAGACTTTAAGTTTTCTCTTTTAGGCTAAAGTGACCGGCCCTTTAAGAAGGCTAACAGAATGTAATATTTGCCAAAGATATGAAGCATTTTTGCCATAAAAATATAAGAAATAGAAAAGACTAACAGAAACAAACCTTTTACTTGCAGATTTGCTGGTTAGAACTTCCGGAGATACATACTGGGCTGTTCCAACAAATGAATTTCTTCTCGAACCTTCATTATTCTCTGAAATAATGATCTCGAAATGTAGTTACGATTTTTTAAGATGCTTCAATCTACTAGCAATAAAGAGAATAACTTTATCCAGATGAATGGATTTAAAAGAAGAATGCAGTAACAAGCCCATAACAATTTCATCTACCTGATAATTCTGGTGAAGTAATTGAATTTAAAACCATCAAGAATCTAGAAATCATGTTGAAATTTTGAAACACTGTTACAAGTCAATGAATTTTAAAATTTAGTTTGTAGAACAATGCTGCTATGAACCTTCCAAATAATTAGTTTCAAAGAAGGTATGTGTACAAAATTACCCAGACATCAGACAATAAATTAAGGTGTTACATGTATATGCTTTTTTGTTTGGGTCTACTGGCACACATTGCTGGTCAATTGCATCTGAAATGTGCTACATGTAAAAATAATAAAATGCGATGGAAGCTTATATCGGCAACTGCAAGCTTCATCAAAATATTTCAGACAGCATTATACAAACAACCAATAAACCAGTCTTACATGTATTTCTATGATTGACATTAACATTTATAACTAGCATCATCTGCATAAACAGATATTAAAAATATCTCACCACCAGATCCATCCCCTTCCTCATTTTTGAATATTTTTGAAGAACCAAAGTCTGTGATCTGGATATGCATTTCATCATTCAACAAAATATTCTCTGGTTTCAAATCTCTAAAATTTATTATTTTAAATACAGTACTTAAGTGCCAGAGGTGATAATAACAATCATTATGTACCTGTACTTTAGCATGCAGACCTTATTACATATGCTAACTGATATTTGCCTGACACATTATGGGGTTATGGTGTACACATATTAACTACAGGGCACCTGGGTGCATGGCAGTGCAACAGGGCAGTGTTTTAGGGAAAAAGAAGAGCGGACTAAAATGACTTGGCAGGAATTCCTTTTATAATACTTTAGAATAACAAGATATGTTTGTAAAACATGTATGCCCCCTATCAGCAGCCAATTAGTCATGTGATAACGTTATTATGCATGACTTCTGACCCAGTGATCAAACAATTAATAAGGGTTATCAAGTATCTACTGGTCATGACCTTAACCTTTGACCCCTTGACCCAAAACTCAATAGGGGTCATCTGCTGGTCACGACCAATCATCATACAAAGTTTGAAGTTCCTAGGCCTAAGCGTTTTAAGTTAATTGATCAGAAACCGTTTTTACCTACAAGGTCAATGTGACCTTGACCTTTGACCCCAAAATCAATAGGTCATCTGCTGGTCATGACCAATCACCATACCAAGTTTGAAGTTCCTAGGCCTAAGGGTTCTTAAGTTATTGATCGGAAACCGTTTTAACATACAAGGTCAATGTGACCTTGACCTTTGACCCCAAAATCAATAGAGGGTCATCTGCCGGTCATGACCAATCACCATGCCAAGTTTGAAGTTCCTAGGCCGAAGTGTTCTTAAGTTATTGATCAGAAACCGTTTTTACTTACAATGTCAATGTGACCTTGACCTTTGACCCCTTGATCCCAAAATCAATAGGGGTAATCTGCTGGTCATGACAAATCACCATACCAAGTTTGAAATTCCTAGGCCTTAAAGTTCTTTAGTTATTGATCAGAAACCGTTTTTACTTACAAGGTCAGTGTGACCTTGACCTTTGACCCCTTGACCCAAAACTCAACAGGGGTCATCTGCTGGTCACGACTAATCATCATACAAAGTTTGAAGTTCCTAGGCCTAAGCGTTTTTAGTTTATTGATCGGAAACCGTTTTTACCTACAAGGTCAATGTGACCTTGACCTTTGACCCCTTGACCCCAAAATCAATAGGTCATCTGCTGGTCATGACCAATTACCATGCCAAGTTTGAAGTTCCTAGGCCAAAGGGTTCTTAAGTTATTGATTGGAAAGCATTTTTACCTACAAGGTCAATGTGACCTTGCCCTTTGACCCCTTAACCCCAATATAAATAGGGGTCATCTGCTGGTCATGACCAATCACCATACCAAGTTTGAAGTTCCTAGGCCTAAGGGTTCTTTAGTTATTGATGGGAAACCGTTTTTACCTAAGAGGTCAATGTGACCTTGACCTTTGACCCCTTGACCCCAAAATCAATAGGGGTCATCTACTGATCATGACCAATCACCATATCAAGTTTGAAGTCCCTAGGCCTAAGGGTTCTTTCGTTATTGATCAGAAACCGTTTTTACCTACAAGGTCAATGTGACCTTGACCTTTGACCCCTTAACCCCAAAATCAATAGGTCATCTGCTGGATGTAACCAATCAACATACCAAGTTTGAAGTTCCTAGGCCTTAGGGTTCTTTTGTTATTGATCGGAAATCGTTTTTACATACAAGGTCAATGTGACCTTGACCTTTGACCCCTTGACCCCAAAATCAATAGGTCCTCTGCTGGTCATGACCAATCACCATACCAAGTTTGAAGTTCCTAGGCCTAAGGGTTCTTTAGTTATTGATCAGAAACCGTTTTTTCCTACAAGGTCAATGTGACCTTGACCTTTGACCCCTTAACCCCAAAATCAATAGGGGTCATCTCCTGGTCATAACCAATCACCATACCAAGTTTGAAGTTCCTAGACCTAAGGGTTCTTTTGTTATTGATCCGAAACCGTTTTTACCCAAGAGGTCAATGTGACCTTGACCTTTGACCCCTTGACCCAAAAATCAATAGGGGTCATCTACTGATCATGACCAATCACCATACCAAGTTTGAAGTTCCTAGGCCTTTAAGTTCTTTAGTTATTGATCGGAAACCGTTTTTGCTTACAAGGTCAATGTGACATGACCTTTGACCCCTTGACCCCAAAATCAATAGGGGTCATCTACTGATCATGACCAATCACCATACCAAGTTTGAAGTTCCTAGGCCTTAAGGTTCTTTAGTTATTGATCGGAAACCGTTTTTGCTTACAAGGTCAATGTGACCTTGACCTTTGACCCCTTGACCCCAAAATCAATAGGGGTCATCTACTGATCATGACCAATCACCATACCAAGTTTGAAGTTCCTAGGCTTTTAAGTTCTTTAGTTATTGATCGGAAACTGATTTTGCTTACAAGGTCAATGTGACCTTGACCTTTGACCCCTTGACCCCAAAATCAATAGGGGTCATCTACTGATCATGACCAATCACCATACCAAGTTTGAAGTTCCTAGGCCTTAAGGTTCTTTAGTTATTGATCGGAAACCGTTTTTGCTTACAAGGTCAATGTGACCTTGACCTTTGACCCCTTGACCCCAAAATCAATAGGGGTCATCTACTGATCATGACCAATCACCATACCAAGTTTGAAGTTCCTAGGCTTTTAAGTTCTTTAGTTATTGATCGGAAACCGATTTTGCTTACAAGGTCAATGTGACCTTGACCTTTGACCCCTTGACCCCAAAATCAATAGGGGTCATCTACTGATCATGACCAATCACCATACCAAGTTTGAAGTTCCTAGGCCTTAAGGTTCTTTAGTTATTGATCGGAAACCGTTTTTGCTTACAAGGTCAATGTGACCTTGACCTTTGACCCCTTGACCCCAAAATCAATAGGGGTCATCTACTGGTCATGACCAATCACCATACCAAGTTTGAAGTTCCTAGGCCTAAGGGTTCTTTAGTTATCACTCGGAAACCATTTGGTCTACGGACCGACGGACCGACGGACCGACAGACCGACGGACCGACGGACCGACAAGTGCAAAGCAATATACCCCCTTTTTTTCAAAATGGGGGCATAATTACTTTTATAAAAATATACATTCAATATGATAATGATACTAATGTTTATCAAAATGTACAGATAAGATTAACAATTGAAAATTAATTCACTTTAATCTTTCAGACAATAATCATGCAGCTTTCAATGTTGATAGATAAAACATAAAATAAAAAGCTTCAGAGCTTTGTTCAAATAATTTCAAAAGGAACAAAGTGGACCAAATTAAAAGAAACGCAAGCATTAATAATGCATTAAGATGCTTCATATCACTTACCTATGGATAATTCCAACCCCATGCAAGTATTCTAGTGCTTTCACAATTTCTGCTGTATAGTGCCTGGAACAATCTTCATCAAAAGATGACAGTTTATGGAGGTAGTCTAACAATTCTCCTCTCCTTGCATATCCTAACACAAAATCTGATGCAAATGCTTAAGGAATAACACATACTAAGCAGGGCTTTTTTCCTTCTATAGCAGGGGCCGTTATAGGGCTGCTTCCCCAAAGAAAAATTCATTAAAATCATGCTTTTTTCCCAAAAAATTGAATTTACATCAAGTTGCCTTTTGAATCTAAGAGACTTACAGGGTTTCTCTCAAAGATTTCTGATAAATTTTGAAATCCAACAGTATAACAATTAAAATCTTTAATGTATGGCTGAGTGTACAATTTATTAAGTTACTATAAATACAACCACTGAAAATTGCACAAAGGAATTGATGCCTTGGCTAGATCTTTGCATTTATTTGAAAGATAGTAACTGTGAGGTGGAATCTCATGTGGGATTGGATTTTTACTCATGCTAAAACATTTTTTAAAACAAGAGTCGGTTGAACCGGGTGATGCTCCCCAGGTTTTGGACACAGGAAGGTATACTTCTTGTAGTGTCAGAATTATGTCACAGACAAAGTTCATAGTGTAAAAACAACCCAAATGTTGTGCACCACACATTGTCTCAATATAGTGATCATTTCTGTGAAATAGTTGTAAAATCCAACTTCAAATAACAAAGTTATGGTCCGGACACGAATTTGCTGCAAGGTCATGCTTTGACCTTCAAAGTAGCGACCCAAATGTTGTATGCGACAAGTCGATTCAATATGGTGATCATCTCTGTGAAATAGTTGTTAAATCCGACTTCAAGTAACGAAGTAATAGGCTGGACACGATTTTGCTGCAAGGTCATGCTGTGACCTTGACCTTCAAGGTAAACCCAAATGTTGCACTAGACACATGGTGATTAATTTCTGTGAAATAGTTTTAAAATCTGACTTCAAATAACAAAGTTATGGGCCGGAAATGATTTTGCTGCAAGGTCATGCTTTGACCTTGACCTTCAAGGTAGCGACCCAAATTTTAAACGCGACACGTCGTCTCAATATGGAGATCATTTCTGTGAAATAGTTTTAAAATACGACTTCAAATAATAGGGTTATGGACCAGACACGATTTTGCTGCAAGGTCATGCTGTGACCTTGACCTTCAAGGTAGCGACCCAAATGTTATGCGCGACACATCGTCTCAATATGGTGATCATTTCTGTGAAATAGTTTTAAAATCCAACTTCAAATAACAAAATTATGGGCCGGACACGAATTGGGACGTACATACTGACAGAAAGGTCATGCTGTGACCTTGACCTTCAAAGGTAGCGACCCAAATGTTGCTCGCGACACGTCGTCTCAATATGGTGATCATTTCTGTGAAATAGTTTTAAAATCCGACTTTAAATAACAAAGTTATAGGCCGGACACGAATTCGCGAAGTACGGACGGACGGACAACCCGACAACTATATGCTCCCCCAAAATTATTCGGGGAGCATAAAAATGGTCAGATGATTAGGGCTCATCTCTGATCCAAGCTTTTGGACTTTGTACAGAATGCAGATGTGGGTTGATTGATATTAAAAATACACATTTTGTCATGTTTATGTCTGAACATCTTGTGTATTACACCAAAGGATACATAGTCTGTCTGCATCTTGAAATGTATAGTAGAGTCTGATAAAGAATGGATGGCTTATCTTCATGAGAACTTCCTTTTCTCTCATTACATATTGTGTCTTTCTTTCTCTCATAATGTGCTTCTTCTCCAACACTTTTACTGTAACATAATAGACAAATACTAATGTATACTTTCAGTTAAAATATTGTATCACATGACATCATTTGTTTTCAATGATATTTAACCATAACACAATTTTTGTTTTATGCATTTTTACCAGACACCCTTAACCTGTTGAAATGGACGTGTCCAGTTGCTATTTTTAGAACTGTCATTTATCAGTTTTGGTCATATTCAAATGAAAACTACCTGGTAAAGTTAGTAAGCAAACCATATGGAGCCTGGTCAAACTGCATGGATAATTGGTAAATGGAGACTGGCATGACTTTTAAACTGTTGTCAAAGGGTAGTATTTGGTTCCAGAAGGGAAAGGGCTAATACATGTATAAAACATTATGATGATGTCATCAACTATAATATAAGGTTAATTTAAAAATGGTGTGTGACATAATAGTTTTACCATCTTCGACCTTGTTCAACTATCAAATATAATTTGATAAAACAAATCCTGTTTGTTGTCATTTCACAACAACTCATAATAAAAATCAAACTTATCCCTGAGTAATACAGAAATCATTTAATGTTTATGTCCATAAAAACTTATCTTAATATAAATCTATATGAAAGGACTATAAATGTAACATCTTGTATGTATTGAATGTAATGATGCAAAATTTAAAATTGTATTGAATAAATAATTACAAAAAACCTTGAAAGGTCATGAAAATTAATTACCATGAAGTAAAACTAAGTTACTCTCGAGCTAAATCTTGTGCAAATTTGCCTTTAATAAACTGTTCTATCAAATGAGGTGATGTAATATAGGAAATTGTTTAGAAGCAATGCAGTTTGAAACCTCAATATATGGCAATGCTAGTAAATTACATAAATCTGTGTCAGAAGTCTAAATCTGGACATCCTCATCTTGACATCCACAAAATTGATAATAGACTGTCCAAAGTAAGAAATTCAGTAGATAAAGGATTAAGCATATAGAGGATATTCAAGTTTTTTCTATAAATACACGATTTATTTTCATTGAATGGTGTGAAAATAAATATTTCATGAGTGGCAGCGCAGCCATGAGTGAAATATGATAATTTTCATATCATAAGATAAAAAATAAATCCTGTATTTAAAGAAAAAAAACTTGAATCCTCTGTTTATTATATACAGTTTTCTATCATTACAATTTGAAAGACTTCCCTTAAAATTTTGTGTTTTGGCTAAATTAAGAAGAAAAAAGTCCAGGAAGACACCAGTGAAAATACATAAATTATGTTTCACTGCACTGAAAAATAAATTTTAACAGTGCAAATATGGAAAATGAAAATGCACATTTTATTTCATCAAAATTTCTCAATATTTCATTTACAATTATTTAATAAAATATCTTAGTTCCTGCATACAGACAGAATTTACTGATTAACATATGAACACTAGAATGCTAGCAAAAACTAACAAACATTTATATATGTATAATATGTCATTCACTGACAGGAAAACTTACTTGCAAACTCTGTTCCAGAACTGATTTCCTTTGCTAAATACACCTGTAATAAATTACGGCAAGAACATGATTGTATTGATAGGCATTTGATATATTTATGAACTCTGGACAATTATAAGGTACAAATATAACAGCATGGGTGCAAGTTGAAAAATTGGAAAAACCTGAAAACCTTTATTCATAATCATTTTCATGATGAAACATGATGAAATTTGTCACAAAAAACCTGAGCTTCAGGCATATGCCTGAAAACTTGCACCCATGTAAGAATAATTAAGAAAAGATACAAGCTTAAATGTTGTCTGAGATTACTTTAGTTTAAGAGAAATGGACATATAAACATTAAATTTTCTCATTTTGTCGAGAGATTACATGAAATCATGAGAATTCTCAAACTTGAGAATGACACAAACACTATGCAATGTAACTATAGCACTTTAATAAAAGGTGACCTAACAAAAACTGCACACTTGACTATTTTCAGTGCCTGATAGTAAATCAAGCCTGGATAATGTAAGAATAAACAAAAAAGAAGATTTCATTCAAACAAAAACATGCCTAATTTATGAGTCTTGGATCTGATACTGAATAAACAAAGAATTTACTTAGTTCACAAAGGGCTATTCTTTATTCAAAATCCATATCAAGTGTTATAGACCTGGGACAGTGACCTCCAGTTATGATCACTTAGACATGTATGAAGTTGCAAGTGAATATCTTTAGTAGCTGATGTTGCACAAGAATTTTTGTTACTTCCAAACGGGTCATAATTTAGTAACAAGAAGCGCCGCAATGCGACGAAAACCAGGTTTTCAACGACCAAGTTTTGATGTGACAGCAATCAATAGGTCAAAAAGCACTGAAGTTATTGAGTAGAAGCTGAAAATTCTATTGTAAGCAAATGACCTTGAACTTGATCTAAGATATCTTAGTGGCAATCCAAAGCTGCCACTCAGCAAGTTTGGTGTCAAAAGGTCAAAGCAAACTCAAGTTATAACATGAAAACTAAATACATTTACATTAACCTTGATCACAGACACCTGGGTAGCAATCCCAAGCTGCCTCTTGATATAAGCTACCCATTCATCAAGTTTGGTGTCATTAGGCCAAAGCAAACTCAAGTTATTGAGTAGAAACTGAATTTCTATTTTTAGTAACAGTGACCTTGACCTTGATCACAGACACCAGGATAGCAATCCAAAGCTGCCTGTTGATATAACCTATCCATTCACCAAGTTTGGTGTCAATAGGCCAAAGCAAACTCAAGTTACTGAGCAGAAACAGTGGCCTTGACCTTGATAACAGACACCTGGGTAGCAATCCCAAGCTGCCTCTTGATATAAGCGATCCATACACCAAGTTTGGTATCAATAGGCCAAAGCAAACTCAAGTTATTGAGCGGAAAATGAATTTCTATTTTTAGTAACAGTGACCTTGACCTTGATCACAGACACCTGGATAGCAATCCCAAGCTGCCTCTTGATATAAGCTATCCATACACCAAGTTTGGTGTCAATAAGCCAAAGCAAACTCAAGTTATAGAGCAGCAACTGAATTTCTATTTTTAGTAACAGTGACCTTGACCTTGATCACAGACACCTTGGTAGCAATCCCAAGCTGCCTCTTGATATAAGCTATCCATACACCAAGTTTGGTGTCAATAAGCCAAAGCAAACTTAAGTTATTGAGCAGAAACTGAATTTCTATTTTTAGTAACAGTGACCTTGACCTTGATCACAGACACCTGGGTAGCAATCCCAAGCTGCCTCTTGATATAAGCTATCCATACACCAAGTTTGGTGTCAATAGGCCAAAGCAAACTCAAGTTATTGAGCGGAAACTGAATTTCTATTTTTAGTAACAGTGACCTTGACCTTGATCACACACATCTGGGTAGCAATCCCAAGCTGCCTCTTGATATAAGCTATCCATACACCGAGTTTGGTGTCAATAGGTGAAAGCAAACTCAAGTTATTGAGCGGAAACTGAATTTCTATTTTTAGTAACAGTGACCTTGATCACAGACACCTGGGTAGCAATCACGAGCTGCCTCTTGATATAAGCTATCCATACACCAAGTTTGGTGTCAATAGGCCACAGCAAACTGAATTTATTGAGCGGAAACTGAATTTCTATTTTTAGTAACAGTGACCTTGACCTTGATCACAGACACCTGGGTAGCAATCCCAAGCTGCCTCTTGATATAAGCTACCTACACACCAAGTTTGGTGTCAATAGGCCAAAGCAAACTAAAGTTATTGAGCGGAAACCAAAAGTTGACGCCTGCCGGCCCGCCTGCCCACCCGCCGACTTCGGCATTACAATAACCCGGTTTTCGTTGAAAACCTGGTTAAAAACCTGTGTCAGAGTTTTGTGCCAAGGATAGTGATCTCCAATTATGATCCCAGAAGAGAAGTGTTAAGATTTACGTAAATACCTTCAATTGCTTTGAAGACTGATATTGATACTGACCTCCAGAATTTCACAAATGGCCATAATTCTGACAAAATTCAAACCATGCTATAGTGTCAGTGATTTTTCTCACTTAATTGGGACGAGGCCTTAGCCTCTTGATTTTGGGAAAAAATATCGCTAAAACTGCTGACTTGGGAAGTAAAAAATCTGGTTTAAGTTGAGATTTTTGGGAAAACTGCATGATTTTAAAGAAAATTTCAATTGGGAAGAGGCCTTTTTTCGAAGTTTGTTATATAAGTAGGAAAATCACTGAGTGTTATGGCAATATTGGCCTTCAATAACGACCTATTGTGATCTCAAATATGTGTATGAAGTTACAAGCAAATATCTTCAGTGCTTGATGAGGTATGATGTTGCAAGTAAAACTTTATCCACAGTGCTATGACCACACTGACACCTAATCACATGTCAGAAGAAAAGCCCCACTATTTGCCTTATAGCCATGCTAAAAACTAAAACAACTTACTGTTGAGAAAGAACCTTCCCCAATAACTTTACCAAAGACAAAGTCATTTGGGGTCTTTTTGATGGGCCTGGCTGAGCCAGGTCCACTTTCAGAGCTTGTACTCATCACCTAGTACCTAAAATATATAAGAAAAATAATAATAAGTTCAACAAAATTAATGCTGTCAGAGTAGACAGTGCCCTTGATGTATAAACCAAGAAAAAATATGTCTAATATTTATATATATATATTCAATTATATTGTATTATCAATATATGGAAGATATTCATATGCCCAAATAGTGCATGTCATGAAACACGCATATCAATGAAGTGCAAAATAATATGTCAAACATAAAATTAATATATAATGATAAATCAAACTTTATGAACTTTGATTTTCATACAAAAATGTTTTCACTGATGCCTAGATCACATATAAATCTGCCGCTGGCCGATTAAAAGTTTTTTACATCAGCCGCTTTGATGATTTAATGAACACCGGGTGATTTTAAATCCGATACCTTGCGTGGTCATGAATGAAACTGTCGCCGGGCGATTTTTTGCCGAAATGATGTTAAATGCTAAGGCATGTCAGAGTTGATGTAAGGTGGTGCCCATTGGTACCAAAGTACTTACTTTTTAGGGTGGTGCACATTGGTACCACAGTACTTACTATTTCCATAATGTCATATAAGAAAGAAAAGGAGCTACAGTACAGCTCGCGCGGAATGTACAATTTTTGTGTTTCCTCCGCAATCGATGTTTAAGCGCACTCCTTAATCCACCATGAGCGTGATCGCGGAGAAATACCCGTGACACAATCACAGAGTTTTAGAAAGTGTAAAGGTATTATCGCGGAGATTGTAATTTCACTGACTTATTTTACTGCGAAAAGGAGCTAGTTTCACTGACTTATTTTACTGTCAACTGGTAATGGCTGCTGCAAATGCTGCACATGCAAATAAGCCGTTCAAATTACTATGATACCGATGGGAACGCGGTACACGCAGGGAGTACTCTAACCTAATTAAGTAATTAGTTGCACTGTTACTGATATAATGTTTCATTAAAATATGGTCAGCTGAGCTGGTACTACAGCCATTAAAAAAGCATACAGGGGCATCAAGGGATGAAATGAAATAGTTCAACTTCTACCCGTGACTTAACCTAGACTTATCATTGTTTCAAATTTGCACATATTTCACGTGAATTTTTCATTTGAATCTTAATTCATTACTCCACCCACATTACTTTCCTATTTCATGGCAAAGAGTAAATGCTACTAATTCATAAAATAAAAGTTAAAGTTTACATATCACTTATTTACCTTGTTGACTTTCGAATAGTACCGAACCAGTTAGCATTATCCTTACACACACATTGAATTACAAATGCTTTTTTGGATGAAAATGAAAGTTGAAGTAAAAACCGGAAACTGTAAATGGTTTCACGCATGCGTAAAGATTAAAAATCTTAAATGTAATGAATTAAACGTCTTTCATGTAATTATTGACTGAAACCGGTCTTAGATATTGTCTCTATTGTGCTATGACTTCCTGGCTCAGAGTTTGAAATGTTATTATTATCTAATTCTATCAAAACTTATAATTCAATTTTTGACAGATGACGTCATTTCGAAGCATCATCCGGGTACTCTTAATGGCCGCATTGAGGGAAAAACTGCTCAGCATTTCCGGATATTTCATTTTCATATAATGTACGTTTTACGGTTTGCCATTTACTTATAACATTTTCATGAATTAAAGTAAAACGTGCCTTTATGAAGTCTCATCAAGAAATTTGTTTGTCATACATAAACAGTTGATTTTACAGCTATATTTTTTTTCTATTTCAAAACTTTTATAAAAAATTAAACCCAAAGCTAGTAGTTGTTGATTGTGAATATTTGAGTTGCATTTCTTAGATATAATTCATTACGTTCTACCTAAAAACAGAAGCCACTTACAAACACAGCTGTACCATAGAATAATTTTATGCAAGTATCATTCAAATTTCATTATCAACAACTTCACACTAAATTATATGAAAATAGGCAAAGCCTATGAACAGGGAAGTCGTTAAAAAGTTTCTTTCATTTTTCTGTATTAAAAGTGTCATTCGTTATTTCATGCACCACTTACATTTTCGCTCAGAACACTCGACGATTATTATGACTCTGAAAAGTTGAGATTTGTTCCGTTATCGGAATACCCCGCCTATTATCATTGAGTTACATTGTAAATGGCGGCAGCCAACTAGAACTGACTCTGAAATTTCATTGATAGGTATAGGATTTTATATATTTTTATTGTCTTTTATTTCATTTTCTTTTAAAAGTACACGTGTAGTCTATAGTCGGGCAAGCCAAAGCCCTGGCACGGTTTTGACTTCCCCGTATAAAACGAAATCAAAGCAAAGTGATGACAAGCATATGTTACTTTTGATCACTGTACCTTCTTGGCAGCCTATATTATCCACGTTCCTTTTCCAGCGATAACTAGTGGTGGTCATTTCAGATCACGGCAGTAAGCTGAGTAACTTGTCAGAGTAACTTTAAGCCACATTGAATTTACCCGAACATAGTTCAGCCACTGCAACGTTCCTGGAGTGATAGTTGCCTTCATTTTCACAAGGAACTGATACCTTCTGTACAGCCAGAACAGAGGTAAAGTGCAAATGACCGTAAAAAGATTTCATGATTAATTAAAACAAAAGTGACAGGTCTGCACTGTCTTGGAATCAAACTCAGGTTGCCCAATTCAGTGTTCAATCTAGAGTGCGCCATTGACCCCCTGAAAAGACCGCCGGCGCAAAACAAATTCAACTGTTGGCCCGACAGGCGCACTCATAGAAAATGCCATTAATGATCTTAAACCTGATTAAGTACATAAAAAGTTTCTTGTGAATAATATTAATAAATACTGAATTCAAAACTGAAGTTTGTATAGAAAAACAAGAGCATGTTGGTAAGATAGTTACCGCACTCGGTAACCCTTTTTAAACCTTGATCGCTACGCTCTCTCGGTCCGGGTCCAGTGTTTTTCCTACTTATATAACAGACGCCGAAAAAAGGCCTCTTCCCAATTGAAATTTTCTTTAAAATCATGCAGTTTTCCCAAAACTCTGAACTTAAACCTGCTTTTTTCTTCCCAAATTAGCAATTTTAGCGATAATTTTTCCCAAAATCAAGAGGCTAAGGCCTCTTCCCAATTAAGCAAGAAAAATCACTGGGGTCTGTAAATACTATGCAGACCTGTTCTTCGTACCATAACTATTACTTACTTTTATAAACAAAACAAATCGTCACAGATAATCCAATACATGCGTGTAGTTATAGTTTTTTAACGGTAAAAACAAATTAATATGCAATAACTTTCCGGAGGAAAAAAAAACTATATTTGTGAAAAAGTGCGAGTTAATTATAGAGGTGTGCATAAATTATTACGAACACGCCTTCAACCAATTAAAAAAAGTCTTAAAGATGGAGCTAATCAAACACGATTGGCTAGGGAGTGTCTGACAATTGAGTGAATAAACTTTGATTGGTCTTTGGCTGGTCCGCGCTAAAACATTGTGCATATCATTAAAATCAATACAGACATCTTAAGCATGACGTAAGAACTGCTGCCCTCACAAAAGATCAAAGGTACCGGTATGTCAATATACATTGTCTTAGCACCTGTTGACACTTTGTTTTTAGCTTGGATATATTGAGAAGGGTAAATGTTTTTAGCGACTATTGTAAGTTTATAAGCTAATTGCAAAATATGATTTTGGCACTGATTAAAAAAAATGAACATTGTTATCAAATATCCCTGGTAACATTTAAATAAGATTCATATGTTTCTTTGAACATTATGTCATTGTTTCTTTACCAATCAGTTCTTAAAATTGAGCCTGCATCAACGCTAACAGTACTCTCAAAAAAGGTCCAAATAATGTCATTTTTTTAGTTGAATTGTCATGGAATTTTGCAACTGTTTTTGGTCTATATATGGTACGTGAACAAGTAACTTAAAAAGATACAATACCTTATTTGAATTTGATGTTGATTTTAAGTGTTTGCCCCCTTTTTTCTCAAATGACCCCCTTTCGAAAAGTTTATGGGCCCGAAGGGCCCCCTGGAAATTTGTTCTAGATTGAACACTGCCAATTCACTGTCCAATGCTCTACCTTAAGCTCTAGGAATGATCCTTAGGTGATCTTCTTTGAAAGTTGTGGAAAAAAAATCATTCAATGTAGAAATCTGGTTGCACATGGCAACCAAAATAAATTATTTGAACAAGATTGATAGAGGTCTACAATATGCTCTAGCCTTTACAGTTTCAAAGGAGCTTGAATATACATTGTATTTATATGGTAAATTCTTTAAAAATCATCATCTCAGAAACTATAATAATAAAGGTTAGAGCTTAGATATTTGGCATGGAATATAATCATAATGGTTATATAGTTATTTATGGAAAAATAAAAGTCATTAAAAACCATCTCCTCTAAAATAAAGGCTTATGCTAAGATATTTGGCATAAAACTTTAACTCCAAGTAATAAAGTATTGCACATGTATACCATATCCCCTGGTGAGGATTTAGGGCCATCATGGTCCTCTTCTTGTTTTTTTATATGTCACATAGCTGGAAGGGAATTACAGTATTAGGAATTGCATAGATCTGTCCTTCACAAACATTTTTGTGCCTGTTTCATAACTTTTAAGCACAAATAATCACCATTATAACACCATGTGCTAAGCACAATTAGCTAGATATCTATCAATTGCTCTTAAAGAAACTCTACGGAAGTAAAAAATCCTAAGTATATAAAATTTGAATTTCTTACATAGATCAGCAGGGTTTTTTAATTAAAACTAAAATATATGCAAAAGATGATTGAGAAATGTTCTCTGAAATAAATTGAAAATCATATTTTTGTGAAAAGTGTTGCAAAGGTTTTTAATAATGGGTCTTTTTTAGCTGATCTTTTTTGAGTTAATGTTACAGTCAGGTTGTCGTTGCCATTGCCGTTCAAAAATATTATTAATCTTGAAAAATTGTTTCCG